CCCCAAAACCCCAAAACCCCAAAACCCCAAAACCCCAATAAATTAAAAATAAATTGAAAATAAGTTTAAGTTTAGTTTTTGTCAAGGATATATTTAACACAATGAAGGAAAGTTAAGATAATACTGAAAGACATTGAATTAATGAAACTCTGGGAACTGGCTCCTTTGAAAGAGCCGGATTAGCAAAAAGAGGGAACTGGCCGTTACAATGAGATGAAAATTATCAAGAAGCATGATATTATTCCTTCGAAATTATATTTGGGATTATATTAAAGTTTTAGTTTTTACCTTTTTGATAAATCTTATCGATTTTGAAGGCTTTATTTTAAACTAAAGCAAGTTGATCATGCGATAAGTAAAATACTATTATAGCAGATATTGATCAGCCAATTTTAGTCAGCTTATTGCTTAGAACAGAGTAAGCAGTATCTACTTTTACTCGAATATATCTGCTGAGGAGAATTATTCACTTATCTTCGGATTGAAGGCACATTAGCTTCAAATAATGTAAGATTTTATTGAGGGCAGGTTATATTCATATTTGAAAACCTGCATTCTAAGAATATCAACTACAGAAATCTCAAGCCAGAGAACCTCTTGATCGATAGCATAGGTTAGCTTAGTTTAACAGACTTTGGTTTTTCAAAATGCTGTGATGGAATAACATACACTTTTTGTGGAACTCCTGAAGTTTTAATGAATAAAGGGTATGGGAAACCTGTCGATTGGCGGTGCTTAGAAATCCTGACCTATGAAATGCTAGCTGGTATCGACCATTTAACCATTAAGATTCAATGGCTATTTATCAAAAATATTAAAAGGAAAAATCAAGTTTCCGAAGTACTTTAACAGGGAGGTAAAAAGTTTAGTAAATCTCCTTTTTGTAGCAAATACTTCTAAAAGGTATGGATGACTAAAGATGGAGTTGAAGATATTAAAGGACACAAGTGATTTAGAAACGATTGGGATTGGATTTCCTTAATAGAAGAAAATACCTGCAACATATATTCCAGAAATAGACAATGGAGGATACTTCAAATTTCTCTGAATATCCTGATTCTCCTGAACCATGTCCTCTAGTTTCTGAAGAGTAAGACCCATTCAAAGACTGGTATCTTCCTTCTATTTAAGTTTAGACATAAAAATTAATTTTCTTCAATTTTTATAATTATGCTAGGGGTTTTGGGGTTTTGGGGTTTTGGGGTTTTGGGG